TCATAGGCAAGAGTAAATACTCTCTTTCTATTATTACAGTATCCGAGTACTGTATGTCGATCCAGTAAGCACTAGACACGATAATCGCTTTGATGGATTATTATCGAATAATATTATGTTACGAATTTTGTGATCTAGATTAGCATTTTAACGATTCATAATGAAGATATTGGAGGCCAAGGTGAAAGACAACTTGAATAATAACAATACTATATTAATTAAATCTTTTGCAATCTGTTCGGAAATTGCTATTTTGCAACAATTCAATATTTGTACTATAGCATTTAAATCATGGCTGATACAATCGATTGCACATTACTTGTAGTCATTTTGAAGAAGGTAGTAAATCATTTCTGTCCTAATTTAATACGAAGGATAGTACGACTATATCACTCCTATTACAGTTTATAGAGTGTCAAGGCCAATAAATAGGTAAATCATATTAGTGAAATGAACAAATTTGCCATTGAAACTGGGTTATTGCAAGTAATTACCTTGGAACACAATTGGGTTGAGCACGATCGACTTCCCATGTTGCAAAAAATTTCATAGGTGGAGGAGCCAAAGAAGAAACACCGGTAAATTTCTTTGGGGAAGCCATTAATGTGTCGTTAATGGTACGTATAATCACTAGAATCTGCTGATTAATATAATTCACTTCTTTTGCCACATACACTATGAAGTAAAAGCCAGCAAAATAGGTAAAAAGGCCTTTGAAATGTACAGTGAATTGCAGGCAATTGGCTAACAAAGATCGATGAGCATTGAGCTGATTGACACCGATCCACGGCCTTAATACACTGTACTGGAGTACAGTACAGTAGTGTACAGTACAATGTACGTATATACTGTACTGTACAGTATGCCATATACAGTACATGTATACAGTACTGTACTGTACAGTATATAGTATACTGTACTGTACACATTTAAGGCAGTAAGGAGACTCGGCATTACAGTACTGTACTGTACAGTACATTACAGTATCGTCCAGTCCAAGTGAGGTCTTGATACTCGCCCTGTATGGACTGTACGTGCTGTCCAGTGTCCAATAGGGAGTCACATTTTCGAGTTGAAGTGGACTGGTCACACATCCAAGTCAGCGTATCGTTATGTGTCACCTATCGGACATCAATGACATTTCTCTCTGACCTGCATGATAATAATAGACTGTAGTGAAGTGTTCGTGGTCAGGCCTGTGGGAAGGTCTTGATACTCGCCCTGTATAGACTGTACGTACTGTCCAATAGCGAGTCACATTTTCGAGTTGAAGTGGACTGGTCACTCATCCAAGTCAGCGTATCGTTGTGTGTTACCTATGCATGATAATAGTAGACTGCAGTGAAGTGTTCGTGGTCAGGCCTGTGGGAAGGTCTTGATACTCGCCCTGTATGGACTGTACGTACTGTCCAGTGTCCAATAGGGAGTCACATTTTCGAATTGAAGTGGACTGGTCACACATCCAAGTCAGCGTATCGTTGTGTGTCACCTATCGGACATCAATGACATTTCTCTCTGACCTGCATGATAATAATAGACTGTAGTGAAGTGTTCGTGGTCAGGCCTATGGGAAGGTCTTGATACTCGCCCTGTATAGACTGTACGTACTGTCCAATAGAGAGTCACATTTTCGAGTTGAAGTGGACTGGTCACTCATCCAAGTCAGCGTATCGTTGTGTGTCACCTATCGGACCTCAATGACATTTCTCTCTGACCTGCATGATAATAATAGACTGTAGTGAAGTGTTTGTGGTCAGGTGTCAGCCCCTTATCTTGCGTATCGATTCCAATGACACCTATCGGACGTCAATGACATTTCTCTCTGACCTGCATGATAATAATAGACTGTAGTGAAGTGTTCGTGGTCAGGCCTATGGGAAGGTCTTGATACTCGCCCTGTATAGACTGTAAGTACTGTCCAATAGAGAGTCACATTTTCGAGTTGAAGTGGATTGGTCACTCATCCAAGTCAGCGTATCGTTGTGTGTCACCTATCGGACGTCAATGACATTTCTCTCTGACCTGCATGATAATAATAGACTGTTGTGAAGTGTTTGTGGTCAGGCGTCAGCCCCTTATCTTGCGTATCGATTCCAATGGGTACTGTACCGTACCCTCCTCGTTCACCCAAGACTGAAGAAGAAAGTTCCTATTTAACGGACACGGTCAATATAAATCTCTATACTGGACTACCTTATCATTTATTTCACTGTCCGTACCAACGTACTGTACGAGTCTACAGTACACTACATGCAGTTTTACTCTCTTCGTGTCAAAGAAATTTTCACTGGAGTTCATCAAGCTTTAGGATAATCCGAATTTTTTCCATTTCTGTATCTTATCCAATGGACTACATTGGATAAGATGCTCCAGGCTAGAAATTATACCTTGTCCAATCCAATCGAATTTGGGTGGCACACACTGAAGGATTGCGCGTATTTTTTCGATAGAATAAACTGAGGGAGTGATGGATACGCCCGCATTGAATTACACCATGTTGTAGAATTCAATTCATTGGCCATTCTTTGCAAAATATACGACTTGTATTCGCTACTGGATTCCTTCTTTGAGACTATTCTTAAGACTCTGTTTTCGAATGATTTTAATATTATAACTCTAACAACATTGACTGGCTGACTAACTAAATCAGCCAAAAAGTATCTCATCGTATAGTAGTTAGCCTTTAAATGGTAAAGAATCAGAATGAGTAGGAAGAAATTAGACATTGAAAGTAGCGTGAAAAAGCGCGAATAAAGAGATG